CCTATTCGGATCTGTTTGCAGACTATCACCTTTACTATCCTCTGTATAATAAAATATACCTTCAGTTCATTTGTTTGGAGTGGAGAGTGTCTTTTAAGTCTCCGATCGAATCCCCGAACCTCTCATAACAGCCTCTCAGGTGTAGTCTCTAAATTATCCAGCAAACATCTATTAAAACTAAGAGTAGGAAGGGGCCGGCCCCATGGCCTAGTGGTTAAGTTCACCCACCCCACTTTGGCAGCCCGGGTTCGTGGTTTCAGATTTCAGGCGCAGACCTACGCCACTCATCAGCCATGCTGTGGCAATGACCTACATACAAAATAGAAAAGATTGGCACAGATTTTAGCTCAGGGAAAATCCTCCTGAGCAAAAAAAACAAAAACAAAAACAAAAACAAAAAAAACTTCCTAATAGTCTGAAATGCTGTGATCTAGCCAGAAGTCTGATTTCTCTAAACTTACAGACAATTTTTGCGGTTGTGTAGCAGACACCGTTGGCTGCCTAACCAACCTATTTACCACCTTCAGTCTTGCCAACAGTACCCCAGTGTATCATACTTTGACTATTAGATCATGATATTTAAGTTTTTGACAAACTTGTTCAGAATGTGTAGGGTCACTTTTTTATTATTACCACACCCAAGTTAGATTAGTTCTTCATTATTCTTCTTTTCCAGATCACACCCTTTGCTGTGGTGTTCATAGCTACCAGCACAGAATTTTTATAGACCAGAATTTTTGAGGGTTTTTTTTTTTTGCTTTTTAGCTAGCTCATCCACACTTCTACTTCATTCCTTGTATCTGAATTATGCCAGAAGATTGTTAAGGCAATTCTAACTAGCATTTATTTTGTTTTTTATTGTTAGCTAACATTTATTGAGCACTTACTATGTGGTAGGCACTGTACTAAGTGCTTTATCTTTTTTTAAACTATCATTTTAAAAATAATAATTCCAGGAAATGTGTGTGCAGTCATGTGTCACTTAACAACAGGGATACGTTCTGAGCAATGTGTCAGTAGGCGATTTCCCTGTTGTGCAAACATCATAGAGTGTACTTACACAAACCTAGATGGTACAGCCTACTACACACCTAGGCTATAAAGTACTAATTTTATTGGACCACTGTCATATATGTGGTCTGTTGTTGACTGAAACGTCATTATGTGGCACGTCTATATAACACAAACACATCATTTCAGCAAAAGGTAAAACTTAGAAGACCAGATGGATTTCTTTGCCTAATGGTTTTGGAATGATATATATTTTCATGCTTAGGAAAATCCTATTCTATTTTATACTTCACATTTTATTTTGAATATTGCACTGGGTCTAATCTTCATTCTGAAGGTTTACAATGGCTATTCAAAAATTATGAGTGTCTACTATGTGCTAGCTACAAAAGTAGGACATGTTTTCTGCACTAAAGGAATTAAGAATTGAGTGAAAGAGCAAGTAAGTAAAAAGACAATTCTAAGACATCTTTTCAAGATTCTACGATGTCCATTCAAAATGTCTGCTATGGGGACCCTTAAGAGGAAAACCTAGTTTGGACATGGAAGGAACCTTGGAGATGGGTACCCTGACCAAATTTTTTTTAACAGATGTTTTGAGATATTCACCTACTCAAAGTGTATGATTTAATGGCTTTTAATACATTCACAGAGTTGTGCATCCAACACCACAATCAATTTTAGGACATTTCATTAGCCAAGAAGAATCTTACACCCCTTAGCCATCACCCTCCAATGCCCACCCCTCAGCCATAGACAACCACTAATCTACTTTCCCTCTCTATAGATTTGCCTATTTTGAAAATCTATAGACATTTCATATAAATGGAATCATACAATATGTGGCCCTTTGTGACTAGCTTCTTTCATTTAGCATAATGTTTTCAAGGTGTTTCCATATTGTTGCATATATCAGTACTTCACTCCTTTTTATTGCCAAATAATATTTCATGCATGGATACAACACACTTTATGTACCCATTCATCAGTTGATGAACATTTAAGTTACTTCTGCTTTTTGGCTATTATGAATAATGCTGCTATCAACATTCACGTACAAGCTTTTGTGTAGATATGTTTTCATTTCTCTTGAGTATATATCTAGGAGTGGAATTGCTGGATTATATGGTAACTCTATGTTTAACCTTTTGAGGTACTGCCAGACTGTTTTCCAATGCAGCTGCACCATTTAACGTCCCCACCAGCTGTGTATGAGCGTTCCAGTCTCTCCACATCCTCAACAACACATTATCTATCTTTTTGGCTATAGCCATCCTAGTGGGTGTCTGACTGAATTCTTAACGGTTTATATGAATTAGCAAGGTGAAGAGGGAAGGGAATGCATCTAGGAAAACGAAATAGCAGAATATGCTCAGGTATCTGGTTTGGTTGGAGCACTGGATATATGAGAGGAAGTGTGAGAGACAAGGCAAGAGAGATAGGCAGGGGTTCTGCTAAGGAGTTTGGAATTTATTTTGAAGGCTATAGAAGCCAATGAAGGATATTAACCAAGGGAGTAGCATGACCAACTCTGCATTTTTAGACTTACTCTGGGAGCAGTATAATGATTGATAAGCAGAGACAAAATGGAAAACAGACATCAACCAAAGGGTGTTGCAGCAGGCGGGGTGAGAAATAATGGGAAACTGGAATACGGCAAAGTCAATAGAGATGTAAAAAAGACGGACATAAGACATAATATGGAGATAGAATTTACAGGGCTTGATATATGTTTGAATGGGGAGGATGAGAATGGGGGAGCCAAAATAATTCCTTGGTTTCTGGTTTTGACAACTGTGTGAACATATTGTATAATATATAATACTAAAAATAAGAAAGAGTGGTTAAGATATATTGGAACCTTGTGCATTGCTGGTGGGAATATAAAAAAGTGCAGCCACTGTGGAAAACACTTTGGCATTTCCAAACTGTTAAACATAGAATTACCATATGATCCAGCAATTCCACTTCTGGGTATATACCCAAAAGAATTAAAAGCAGGGACTCAAACAAATACTTGTACACCAATGTTCATAGCAGCTTTATTCATAATAGCCAAAAGGTGAAAACAACCCTAGTGTCTATCAATAGATGAATGGAAAAGCAAAATGTGGTATATACACACAATGGAATATTATTCAGTCTTGAAAAGGTACATGCTATAACATGGATGAACCCTGAAAACATGCTAAGTGAAATAAACCAGACACAAAAGGACAAATATTATATGATTCCACTCATATGAGGTACCTCACATAGGTAAATTCATAGAGAGAGAAAACAGAACAGAGGTTGGTTACCAGGGGCTAGGGGAGGAGGGAATGAGGGATTATTGTTTAATTGGTACAGAGTTTCAGTATGGGATGATGATAAATTTCTGGGAATGGATAGTGGTGATAGTTGCACAACATTGTGAATATACTTAATGCCACTGAACTGTACACTTAAAAATAATTTTAAATGGTAAATTTTATGTTATGTATATTTTACCACAATAAAAAAATGTGGTGGATACATAGGGAATAGAATAAAATATATAACATTTAAACTTAAAATATGTGCCTATGAACTAGTATTCACATTGCAAGAGCATACACCAATGGATGATCAGAATTAATGAGACAAGAACTCAAATTCTAAAATTGATCTAACAATGCAATAGAGTTTCCAATATCCTAACAGTATCTTTTTGTGGAACTTGACAAGTTGATCTGAAAATTTATGTGGAAATGCAAAGAGTCAAAAATAGCTAAGACATTCTTGAAGAAAAACAAGGTGAAAGGATTTGATCTACTAGATATCAAGACATAAAATTATCATAATTAAGATAGTGAGGTAATTAAGGCATTGTGGCTAAGATAGGATAAGGAATGACAATTAGGCATTATATGGAATATATTAGAGAGCCCAGAAACAGACCTAAATATACACAGACAGTTGATTTATAATAAAAATGGCATTGAAGAGCAGTGGAGTAAGTATGGTCTTCTCAATAACTTCTAATGCTGGGACAACTGGATAGCCATACAGAAAAAATGAAACTTAGTCACCACCTAACATCATATACAACATAAATTCCACATCTATATCTGTAACATAAAATAATGAAGGTTTGGGAGGTAACATATGAAAGACATTTCCCATATACTATATTGTCATCTGAAACAGGAGACCAAAAAATAGGAAAATACTGAGAAGTTTAACCATATTAAAATTAATACTGTTGCTTCCCTGTGTTCACCAACCCTAAATGACTCACAACCTTTTCTCAGTCCCTACCAGTTTCCCACTTTGAAAGACCCATCTTAAACCAACTGAGCCCTTATCCCAAATTCCTGAAAATACCCTACCCTAACATCCCCCTTTTGAATCATTACCAAGACTTGTGTCAACTTGATGTTCTTCCTTGCTACAAGTTTAATAACACAGCTTTGTTTGAGGAACAGGTTTCTTTGGTGATCTTCGTGGAGGAGTCAAAAATTGACAGTTCTTATCTTTTTGAGATATAAACTGAAATCTTTATAGATGAAATGATATAATTTCTGACATCTGTTCCAAAATTAAAAAAAATAGAGAAAATAAGAGTAGATAAAATTAGTCATAAATTGTTGAAGCTGGGTAATGGTACATGGGAGTTCATTACACGATTCTGTCTACTTTTGTATGTTTTAAATTCTAAAAATAAAAAAATATTTTTCTAGTCCTTAAGAGGGGATGTTCATTAAGGTTACAATAAAGTTACACTATCTGACCATGATTACCAGGCTCAAATCCAGAAATCACCTATCTAAACATAATCTAAGTCAAGCTGGATTTTGCAGTTCTGCCACTGATGACAGGCAGGGAAGAGCAGACGGGTTGTAGATTTGAGAAAAATAATTCTTTTTAATGCCTTCCTACAATACCTCAATGTAGAATTAAAAGTAGACATAATTATCTTAAATTTGACATTTAAATCTTGGTTAAAACAAAACAAAAGGGGTAGAGAATATTTTCTGTGCTTTATTTATTGAGAGAGTGAAATTGTGCTATAGTCAGCTAAATTCTTAGTTGTGCTTAGAATGTGCTCCCTCCTACATCCTACTCTGGAAAAATGAAGCTTCTTATTCTTTCTTAGAGTCCTGGATCCTGAAATTGGCAATTATTAGGATTCCACACACACATGGAGTGATGCTCAATTTGAGGCTTTGAATAGCTACTCATATATGTTGACTTTTCTGTGCATTTGTATTGAGGAGGATCCAGCTCAGGCTGATGTCCTGGGAACCAGTGAGGCTCTCGCTTAAATCCTGAGGGAAGAGAAAAGAGAAGGAAAGACAAGTGGAATCAGTCAACAATAATGAGTCTTAGTAACCAATCTCACTCTTATTTCTGAGGGAAGAGACAGTGACTGCTGTCAAAATTGAGAAAAGAGAGAAATCGTTCACTCATCCTTTCACTTATTCACTCATTCAGTTTACTTTTATTCGAGTTCCTTCTACATTCCAGGCACTGAGTTAGGTCCTGAGAATATAAGAGTTAAAAATAGTCCACCTACTATGGGTTGAAAGTGGCATTTTGTTGTTGTAGCTTGTATCATATGTTGTTTCAAAGTAGTGTCCAAACTGGAAAGAAAAAGTAATAGATTAAAAATATAAAAGTCTAACCAATATTGGGAAACAAAGTACACAATGACATGAATTCTAACAGACTCTGTCATATTTAAGATTGACTAGAGATCTATATGTCATTAGTCTATATCCCACTAACTTTCATATCCTTTGTATGTTTTTTTCTTTGTGTCAGAGAGATCTAAGGGCAAGATGCAGATAAATGATAAGTCTAGGTAGGCAAGGAGCGGGGAGTAGCTACCATGAGTCAGAAGACATTATATATTTCTGCAGATGAATAAAGTCCAAACAGAAGTAAGAGAAAAAGACTACTACCCATTCTGTCATTACCTTATGATAATACAATATTCAACTTCACAGTGAAGCAGGATAGGCGTTGCAGCTGAGGACTGCTGCCCTCCCTCAACCACTTCACAGGACAGAAACCTGAGAGATCTTAGCATTGGAAGTTATCAGATCCTGTCTTTCAAATGGCTACTGGTATTTCTTATGCTAACAGGAGAAAACAAAGAGGAGAAGGTTAGATTACCTGGGAAGGCAAGGGTTTAGGCTGCACGATATTCCTTAGGTCATATCTTTCCTGGTTCCAGTTACCCATCAGGGTACGGTTCGAATAGGCATTCTCATTTGTGGTGCATCTCCATCCATATTGGAAAAACTTGGACATATCATTCCAATCTGTCCACACTTCCGCATGGCCATCTGCGTTAATGAGGCTGCCATAGTGTGGGTTTGTAAGGAAACAGGCAAGAGATTGTCTCTGGGAAAAGGTGAGAACAGAAAAGCTTGTTTCACAAACCAGAGAGCAGAAAAGGCATCCCTTTCTCACCCTTGGCCAAGCATAACATAAGCCCACCTTACTAAGAATCTGGGCTTTCCTCCCAACATTACTGTTGTGGTTCTGTTTCTTTCTCTTCAGGTCCATGAATCCTTTGACTTATCCTCTCAATCAACACTAGCGCATGACTATGTAGATTAAATGCCCCCCCAAAAGACAGGAAAACCTTCAGTACCCCCAATACTATATAGAGAACCAGCTAAATGTTCAGGTAATTTTGGGATGTAGGAGTTTAAGGACTAAGAGTATTGCTACGGTCAAAGAGAACAGAGAGAAGTGAGAGACGGATAACTAGATAACACAAGAAATGATCAACAAATTATAGTTTCCTTACTCGTAGGCCCAGCTCAAGTGCCGCTTCTTCCATGATGCCTTCCCTCAAGTTAACTTCTCTCTCCTTTGTCTCATATGGAACTTTGTTCATATCTTTCTATATTTATAACTTTCTACCATTTGTTAGAGTTCTTCAAGTATGTGTCAAATATCCTATACTGAACTGTACATCCCTTGAGAACAGGAACTGAGTCTTATTCACTATGGTACCCTCTCCTTTTGCCTGCCCTCCCAGTGAACAGTGGTTTGCACATACCAGATGACCAAGGTCTGAATTTCAATTTTTTGGTAAGGAATCAAAAGCCTAACCATTTTTATTTTTGGCCAAAAGATGAGTCTGGTCCCTTGGCTTAGAAGCAAGACAATACCTTCCATGAAGAACAGTAATTTGATGCTGAGTAGCTTGTGTTGTTTGAAGATTTTATAAGAGGATAACAGTAAACCTTATTCTGCTGTTCCATGTTCTTTAAAGGAAGAGATGTCACCAAACCTGGACCTCCCAGTTCTCCAAGCAAAGGAAGAATGTAGATCACCCAGATCACCACAGCCAGGTGGCCATGATTTGGGAGTCACCACCCACCCACCTTTCTACAGGTAGGGACAAAGCCAATACTGTAGGTTTAAAAATAACTGCCCTCACACCATATGCCTTTGTGAAGATAGATGCACGCACTGATGTCAACAAACAGCATGATGACTAAAGAGTAGCTGGTCCCAGAAAGTCCAACAGGCCTACTACTCAGACTGCAGACCAGGTGATACTATCCCTGGGGCTGTAAGGACAGATATCATCATCCACTCAGTTGTCCAAGCCCGAAACCTGGGGCTTATCTTTGACTTTGATTTCTCTTTCAACCCCTTACATCCAGCCAATCACTAAGTCTTGCTGATTTTTGAATCAGTCCATTGCCCTCCATCCTTACTGCCAACTTCCAATTCAGATCACTATCAGTCTTTGTCTCCATTACTGCGGTAGCCTCCTATCTGATCTCTTTGCCATCAGCCTTGCTCTTCTCCAATCCTTTCTCCCTAGGAAAGCAGAACTTTTTTTTTTTTTTTTTTAAGATTTTATTTATTTATTTTCTCCCCCCAAAGCCCCAGTAGATAGTTGTATGTCATAGCTGCACATCCTTCTAGTTGCTGTATGTGGGACTCGGCCTCAGGATGGACGGAGAAGTGGTGCCTCGGTGCGCGCCCGGGATCCGAACCCCGGGCCACCAGCATCGGAGCGCGTGCACTTCACCACCAAGCCATGAGGCCGGCCCGGAAAGCAGAACTTTTGAAAATAAAAATCTAATTGTGTCATCTTCCTATTTGAAAACTTTCAGTGGCTGGCCACTGTTTTCAGAATAAGGTTCAGGTTGTTAAAATGGCTTACAATGGTCAATATGACCTGGCCCTTGCTTCACTCTTCAGTTTCATCTGTTCCCCACTCTCCCTCCAACTACATTTCAGCCAAACTCAACTATTCTGTTTCTCCATCATGCTTCTGCATATATTGTTCCTTCTGCCTCTTCACTCCTCGTCCCAGGTAAGCTGTACTTTCCCCTCCCCTTAGCTTTCAGCTCAGGTTCACTTCATCCAGGGAATCTTTCCACTTCACCCCAAAACTTGGTAAGGTTCTCCTTCTGTGTGCTCCCATAGCATCCTGAATTACTCCACTCACAGAACCGCATCCCGCTGTATCAGAATTGCCTGTTTTGCTGTGCATTCTCCGCCAGACAACAAGCTTAGTGAAATCACAGGCCACGTCTTGTTCATCCATATATTTAACTGCCCTCACAGTGGCCTGGCACATAGCAGGCACTCAACATTTCTTGAATGAATAAAAGGTAGGAGACAGAAGCACCTGAAGAAATTCCGAGCAGCAGAGACAATGGACAGCAGCCATTTCGGACGAGATGAACGCTGTAATAAAATCTTCTGCGACAGGAACGTGCAGGACACAGCCCCGCCCCGCTTCTTTCACTCAGAACTCGCCTCACGGCCTGCCCCTCTGCGCTACTGACTGCTTGTGATCTCATGCAGGTGTGACGAAGTCGCTTAAGGCTGCTCTCCGGCCAAAAGTCATTTATTTTGACACTCCTGAGGGGGTGGAGGAGCGAGGGGACGCGGTAGTAGTCGGTGTCTCGCTTTTGCATTCATGGCTATTTTCCTCCCTGGATGTCAAGACAACTGGACGCTGTGTATGCGTCATCAACCAGCGACAGGCGAAGAAGGGGTGACAAGAGACCGGCGAAGGAAGTGACGTAAGAAACGAGCGCCTCTGAGAACGCGAACAGGGAGCACGTTGAGGACATGGTCCCTCGGCGCCTCCTGTTGGTTGGGGAGGGGAATTTCTCTTTCGCTGCTGCTCTGAGCGAAACCCTGGATCCGAGCACTAGTCTAACCGCCACCTGCCTTCAGCGCCCGGCCGACTTGGCCCGGGATCCAGTAGCCCGGGAGAATCTGCAGCGCCTGCGCGAGCAAGGTACCTAGGCCCGCCCCTCCACGAAGCCCCGCCCAGCTGCCGGAACCATCTTAAGTGCAAAGGGTGGGCACCGGGGATGAGAGGGACGTGGGGATTGCTCTTGATCATCCCGTGGACGTTTGCAGAGAGCCCGCTGTGTGCCTAGACCTGGGTTGTTTTGCACAGTTCAGGTTAGGGAGGGGTTTTCTGTGGTTCCAGGTCTTAACACATCCTCCTGTCTATATTTTGTGCCAGGTACCAAGGTTCGTTTTGGTGTGGACTGCACCCAGCTGGCAGATGCCTTTGAACTGCACGACAGGGAGTTTGATCGAATTTATTTTAACTTTCCACACTGTGGCCGCAAAGCTGGAGTAGCTAAGAACAGGGAACTGCTTGCCAAGTTTTTCCAGAGGTGAAAAGAGCACTCACAAGTAAAATGTTTAAGATGTACATTACAGTTAATGCACTCAAACATTTTAGTTTGGGAAATAAGGCATACGTGTGTATGATAGGTTTAGAGAGAATACAGAGCTCCAAAGGAACCCACAATCTAGTGGGAAAGGCAGACATATCACCCTAAATGCTAAATGAAAGTACAAACGGTGTGCTCTTGGGTAGGTAATGGGAGGATCACCTATTTTTGATAATATAAATTATATATAATTTACCACAAAATAATGGTGGCCAGTACAGTCTAATGGCTAAAAGCATGGATTTAGGAGCTAAGCTGCCTGGATTCAAATCCCCACCTACCACTTAGTTGTGTGATTTTAGGTAAGCTTACTTACCTTTTGCTTCTTCATCTATAAACTGAGGATATTACCAGTAACTACCTCATAAAATTATTGTGAACTTAAAACAGTGCTTTACACTATTATACCAAAACATATGATACTGTTGGAGGTTTCTGTAGGTCATAGTTGTCAAGAAACTTTTCACAGAGGCAGTATTTTAAGTTAGTATTTGAAGTATAGAATTTTAGTAGGCAGGAGGGGAGTGAAAAGAACAATTTTCCAAATGGGGAAGAACACCCTGATCAGTGAATCATGTATAGGAAGTTTGCAGACATTGACCTTTTTATGACATATAGATGAACAATGCAAATACAAAGCTGGATAACACCCTAGTCAGCCACTAGTATCAGTTATGAGTTGAACATTGAATTTACATGCTTATTTACTTCCCCCTTTCTCTGCATGTTTGAAGTCTAATAGACCTTTGCAAATAGGTATGATTGGATTTTAATTATTTCACAGCCAAACCATGTATATATAGCTAACTCCTATAGTAATTTCCACTTGTTTCTGATAAATGGCTGGTGTCCCCCTCCCCCCGTTAGCTGTGCAGATGTTCTTGCAGAGGAAGGAGAAGTCCACGTGGCATTGTGTAAAGGACAAGGTGGGACTCCTGCTGATAAGCCCATGAGAGAATGGCACAACAGTTGGCAAGTGGTTGCCATGGCAGCTCTAGGGGGATTCATTTTAAGTGATGTGCATCCGTTCAGGTGTGAGGCTGTGCCAGGATACAAGTGCACTGGATATAGGTAAGCAATAACAGAGGTCTAAGCATTTCCTTTTTCGTATCTTTAATGACTAAAAAAAAAATCTCATACGCAGACTTTCCCCCTGCCAATTTCCTGATTTCGTCTCTGGAAACATTTGCTTTCTTTAATAATGACAGACTTCATACTTCGTGTCTGTTTTACCAGGAGTCAAGATAAGTCCTTTCACGTAGAAGGTGCTTTGAACCATATCTTCACCCGGAGCTTACCCTTTGAAGGTTTGCAACCCAGAATCTTCAGGATCAAACTGGGTGACCAGTGGTTTTCTTTTCCAGAACCAGAAGCACTTGTAGGAAAGTTGAACAGGTAACTCGTTATTTTACCAGAAATCACTTCTATCTCTAGTTGTATGCCGATTGGCTTCATGGCAACCACATATTGAATGGATGCTACATAAATTGTTAATGATGCTGGTGCTGTGAATACTTATCAGTCTTGCCTACACAAGCCTCTTTAGAATTAAAAATTGTCATATTTTCTGGGATATTGTAGGGATGGTAGCTGTCAGAATTCTGAAACACATGATGTCCCTGTTTATGGTACATGATTTCTTTGTTTCCTTTCAGGATCGACTTAAAGATAATTTTTTTCTATACATCTATTTGTGTTTTTAATTCTAGCTACATTATAATTATTTATTATTTTAAGTTATAAAAGTTATTTTTTTGTGTCTTTAAACAGGGGTTTCCTAGAAGCACCTTCATATCATCCTATCAAAACCATAAATGAGAAACTCATTGCTGAATTGGGCAAAGCTTTCCCTCTAAAAAGGCTGAAGTGTTCCTTCCCTTTGCTGCCACAGGGAGGCAGCAGTGTTCTCACTTCTTGGAACTGTGACATTCTGTCAGCTGCCTTTTGGATTAGTCTCTGTGAAGATAACTCAAATTCTGAGTCCCTGACTGGTGGGACAACACAAGATATGGAGGACTTTCTAGTGTCATTTTCAGAACTTAGCCTTCCCAAGAGCCCTGGAAGAGACAGTAAGGAAGAAGCTCATGAAGGAGTCTATAACCAAGCCAAGATCTGCCTTAGACCTTCTCTCCTAGTTCATGTTCAGGCTGTCATCCAAGCGCCAGACTTCCTCCCAGGTTCTCTGCACATCCTCAGTGGACCTGTCTTTCAGAAGTGCTGCATCTCGCCTTTCACAATGCCAGCATTTCATGAGACTTTATTTATCTTTGGGTTTAATAAAAATCTGAAGGATGGCTGCCTTCAGTCGCTACTGGATCACGTGAAGGGCATTCTTGATAACCTTCTAACCCAGACATTGCTGGAGGGCTCTAAGCTGAGCAGTTCAGTGGAATTTGTCTTTCAACCAAATGGGAAAGATTATATGATTAACGTGAAGTCTCATAATTTTGGCCCAGATTGTGCCAAGGATCTGATTATTGGGTCTGTCACCACATCTGCTACAAGCATTTTACACAAAGACCGGGGTTTTGTGTTTGTGTCTATGAACTTGGACCTACTAGCCATGATTGTCTCAGGTATCTCTGACTGGAGAATATTGTGGACCTTTGATAACCGTTTCCTGAAGAATTTTGTCCCTGGGAAAATAGAACCCTTTAAAAGCTATTCTCTATATCCTCCATGCTATGTGCATGATATTAGTTTTTGGTTAGATGATAAGAAAGGATTTGATGAACTAGAGTTTCATACTGTGGCCCGAGCAGTGTCCCAGGACACTGTCATATCCATACAATTCCTTAGTCGTTTTCAACATCCAAAGACTGAACAGGTCAGCCTCTGCTATAGATTGACCTACCAGACCTGTGACAAGGCCCTCACCCAGCAGCAGGTAGCATCAATGCAGTCCCAGTTTAGGAAAGAGATTCAACAACGACTACATGTGACACCTCGGTAGTTTAGTAAATTAATTTCTACAGTGTGATACTCATGGGTGTGGGTGTAGATGAAAAAGACCAATCTGTAACCAGTAGTCCTTCTGGACTTTGTTTTTTGTAAAATTTTTTACATCGTGACTAAAGCCACTGTTGGTTGACTCCGAAAGATACCTGTGACTCTATAACTTAAACTCATAGACTGTAATGAGATTGGTGACCTTTGGAGTTGTGCAGTATTTTGATCCTGAGTAATGACTAGGAAAACAAATAAAACAAATCAGCATCTTGTGCTTTAGATGCTCTGTTGCTGAAGAGGCAGTAGAACTTGAGTGTCTCATCAAATATATTTATAAATTTATTTTCCAACTGTCAATTCCTCTTCCCTTAGCTCTATTGTATCATCTCACTAAATCAATCTACAAGAGTGGTTTTGGACCAACATTTATTAGCTTGGGTAAGTTGCAAGTGCTCCATAATTAGTATTGGTATCATCATCATCATCATTTTTATTCCATGGTTCACTACTGTTACAGTTAGGGAAATAATAGAATTCACACTGGGGTCTGTCTGACTCTAAAGCCCATGTTCTTTCTGCCACTTCTTGTTACTTTGCTTCTCCTTCCCTAGTTTTCTTCAACAGTAACCTCAACTTTGATTAACTCTAAACTTCGCCCCGCTAGATTTTGGGGTCTTCTGTTGTAAACATCTCTAAGGGACACTGGGAGATTGGTGCAGCCCAGGACTTTGCAGAATGGAGTACTCTAATGTGAATTAATGTATGTTCCTGTTAATTAACAGCTAGGCTCCACAGATTGGAATTATATTGTAAACTCTGTGAAGGAAATAACTGTCTTATTTTTTCTTGTATTTGGAAAAACCCATGTGGAAAGGCAAGAATGGAAGCCAAGAAACAAATTAGGAGGTTATTACGGTAATGCAAACGAGATAATGGTGACCTGGACCAGGGTGGTAAGAAGTTGTTAGATTGGGTAATATTTAGAAGGATTTGCTGATGAATTAAATATATGTGCGTGGGTTAAGGTTGTGGGGTTAGAGAAATAGAGGAATCAAGCAGGACTCCTAGGTTTTTGACCTGAGCAACTGGAAGAATAGAAGTGTCATTAACTGAAATGGGAAAATTGGCAAAGGTGTAAGCTTGGGGAGTGGGGTAAAGAATCAAGGGATCTTGTATGGACAAGTGTGTTGCTTACCTCTCCACATAGATTAGAAGCTAATTGGAGGCAGGAAATGTGATTTATAGCTTCTTTCTGTCCCCAGTAGTGCTTGGTACATGGGTAAGGTAGCATTGAGCTGGATCTTAAAACAAGGGCAGGGATGTGATGGGAGGATTGTTAGGCAAGGAGGGCGTGCATTCCAGGCAGATGACATACAGGAGCAGAGGTATAGGTAAGGGAACATTTGGGGCACTTTTCAGGCTAGTTAGTTGCAATATAAAACGTGTATAGGAAAGTAGTGGGAGATAAGATTACAAAAGTAGGTTGAGGCTGGAGTTAGTTCATGAAAGACTGTGAATGCTACAATAAGGAGTTTGTACTTTATTTGGCAGGTAATAGGAAAAATCTGGTGATTTTTGATTAAGGAAGCAACATAGAGTAGTGCTTTTGAAAATTAACTGGACGGTGTTGCACCAGATGAATTTGAGATGGGAGATCCCTGTAAGGACACTATTGTAGTAGGCCTAGGCAGGGGCAGGAAGGGGCCTGCATTAGAGTGAAATGAAAAGGAGATGGATATATGAGATATAGCTAGGCTGGGATGTCTGAACTTGGTAATTAATAATTTCATGTGGGAATTGAGCAATATGATAAATCTCCATTTTCAATATTTGGGAATTTTTAGTATGAAATTGTCAACCTAAATAAAGAAGTGTACTGAGGCAAGCTCAAAAAATGATGAGTTTATTCGGGAATAGCAAAGGAATTGCAATTCGGGACAAGCAGGCTATGGTGAACCATAGGCAAGTCCCAAGAGACGAAGGGAAGGTCAGCTTTTATTAGGCTTTAGGAGGATATTGGGGAAGCTTGTTTTGAAAAAAAAAAAGTTCACTGGAGAAGAACAAGAGTTAGAGGTCGCTGCAGTTTCTTATTGGCTTCAAGTGGTGGTTAGTGAGTTGTTGCTGGGGTAGGGAGGGATCTTCCTTCCTTTTCTTAAAGATTTTTTTTTTTTTTTTTTTTTTTCCCCCAAAGCCCCAGTACATAGTTGTCTGTCATAGCTGCACATCCTTCTAGTTGCTGTATGTGGGACGCGGCCTCAGCATGGCTGGAGGAGTGGTGCCTCGGTGCGCACCCGGGATCTGAACCCGGGCCGCCGGCAGCGGAGCGCACGCACTTAACCGCCAAGCCACGGGGCCGGCCCATCTTAAAAGCAGGAGATGAAATTCCAGGTGAAAAGTGTCCTCCCTTGTACCAGAAGAAAAGTAGCATTCCTATCATCACAGATAAGAAGTTGAGACCGAGAAAATTTTATACAAAGAATTCTATATAAATAGACCTTGTTAATCCTCCTTCTTCCTGCTGGTCATGCAGGCTGCAAGGAGTGGTACATGCGAGAGCTCCCCCTTCAGGGCTTCCTGACTGCATTTTAAATGAGGTTTTCCTTGATTTTCACAAAATCATAACCTGGGACCCTGTTTATAGAGGGAGTGAGTTCAGCACTCCCTCTATAAACTTGTCTCAGTTACTGGTACAGAGCTCCACAGGATGGGATAGAACTCCGTGATTGGGGGAGTGGGCAGAGTGTCAGGAATAGGTGAATAACCCCTGCGAGTCACAGACGTGATCTCAACGAGGTGCCTGTGTAAAGTGCCTGTGTAAAATGCCTGTATGAAATCAGGAGCTGTCTCCTGATCTTCTGGTGGGAAGAGCATGGGCTTTGTAGTAAGACAAACCTGGGTTGGAATATGGCTCCACCATTTCCTATCTATGCAACCTTGGGCCTCAGTTTCCTTATGGATAAAACAGGTTGTTGTATTACATTTAAAGAAGATAAAATATGTAAAATGCTTACCATAATGCTGATGTAGCAATGGCAGTGACTGGTGTCTGATTGAATTTGTTGCACAGAATTTCTTCAGTCTCACTTTTCTTCTTATTCTATGTTCTGCTCCTACGGCTTTCTCTCTCTGAAGCAGTTAATTAGCTACAGGCTGTCTCTATCACTCTTACCAAAGTACAAAGAGGGCAAGTGTCAGTGACCTTTTAAGAACCTCCCCTTTTGTAGGCAGCTGTGCTGTGATCTTTAAATCTGTGCACCTCTGCTCATTCACTTTGTAGAGTTGTTGAATCACCTTCTACTTGTGCTTGCTTTTAAAATAGAGGAGCTGAAGGGAGGTTTTTGTAGGAGAGTGGAGAATGCTGAAAAGTGAAGGAGAGAGTTGGGAGGGAGCAATGCCCAGAGTTAAAAGTATGTGGAAGGGATAGTTATGATGGTGAAGCTAAAAGCCTAGGTCCCATTTCTTTTCTACCCAGGGATTTGCCCCAATTGGCCCAGGAACGCTCTACTTTAGTCTTGTCTGCGCATGTCAAGCTCTTTTGTCCCTCGGCGGACACCGTTTGCCAGCCAAAGCTATGTCTCCACGTTCGCCGCCGTAGTAGGGTGCCGAATTCTACCCTTTTTTTCCACGCTTGCCATGGCAAGCCGAGGGGTTCGGCAGCGCCTGAAGGGAAGTGGGGGAAGCGGCGGGGAAGCGGCCTCTGCTGCGGACAAGCTGCGGGAGCTGCTGTGCAGCCGGGAGGCGGGCGGCGCGGAGCCCCGGAGCGAGTAGGTGTGCGGGCGCGGCGGGGGCGTGGCCGGCCGGGCGGCTCGGCGCCGGGCTGCCCCCGGGAGGGTCTGGTCCGCGCCGCGCGCGCGGCTTCGCCCGGCGGGGCCTCCTCGCTGGGAAAGCCCGGCTGCCTGTTCACTCAGGTCCCTCTGCTCTTCCTGGGAGGGTCAGCGTTGGTCTTCGCCCCGCTTTAGATCCCCCACCTCGGGTCCCGTGTTTCTTGTAAAGAAACCCTGGAGTGCGAGTCTGTGAGGCTTCCGGCCCAGGCCCAGAGTGGGCTGGCGTCGTGGTGTTGGAGTTGGCAGAGCCTCTGTGGGAGTCGTTGGCAAGAGCAAAGAGTATACCTTTTCCGACTGTCTCCCGCAGCTTGCTTCATTCCCCCAACAGTCGTGACCCTTTCCTCTTCTGTGTGGGCTCCACAACCTCTAGCACCTGCAGCCGCCTCTCTCCCCAAGTCCTGGGGACTGCAGGTTAGGACTGCAGGTTCCAGGAGCTGTCAGCATATGGAATTGGAGAAAGTTACGAACCTGCACGTGTTAGGCATCTATACATTTGAACAAGTGGCGAAATGCATAAAGCCGTGGAAAGTAATGACGTTGTTAAGAGAAGAAGGAGAGCTTTGTGGCCTTCAATTGAGTGATTACTTAGATTGGGATAAACTGAGTGTCATAGATGCAATGAACTGAAGTGTATGAATTAACTTACACCTTAAAAGCAGGAAGTGGAAGGAATGATTAAGGTTAAGATCTTAATTAATTTCTTATTTACTCAATTCAGAACAATTAACGGTTCAGCTTTTTAGGTGAATAACTTCAGTGCTTTAATGTCCCTTGCCATTCTTGTCCTTTCTGTCTCGTTTTAGTCCTTCTGATTAGCAGGTCTTCCGGACACATACTTTTTTTGCCTCTGAGCAGGTTATCTGGGAACAAAGCAGGACAAGTCTGGGCACCTGAAGGATCAACTGCTTTCAAGTATCTGCTCTCAGCAAGGTTATGTGCTGCTCTTCTGAGCAACATCTCTGACTGTGATGAAACATTCAACTACTGGGAACCAGTAGGTGATTTCTTTAGTTTTTGTTGTTGTTATTGTTCTTGATTTCACTGCTTGGGACCTTGTTACCAGTCAAGACACAAATAATATACAAATGTGACTACTAGTAAAATAACTTTATTTTCACTTTTATATTCTAAGCTGATGATTTACCAATTATTGCAGGCTATAGGAAATTTGGCTCTTTTACAAAAAGGTGTAATTTGTAATTTTCTTAAAAAATTTTTTTGATGAAAATTATACTTCGAGGTAGTTTTTAAAGTTAACTACTACAGAACTTAAAGGAAAAACAGTAACTCCCTGTCCCACATCTCATGTCCAAATCCCAGTCCCTAGAGGCAACCACTTTCTTTCAGCTTTTTTACTTATTTCTTCCGATGTTTACTAAAATAAATAATGTTAGTAAATAGTATGCTTATTCTGCTATTTCTTGATTTACACATTTATAAGTCTGTTGACTTCCTATTATAGAAAATTCAGAGGTGAAATTTTCTGATCATATTTTAAAATGCTTAAAAAGTTTAAGGAAATTATAAGATTTAGAATATCTCTGTTTTGACTAATGAGTATTTAAAAAAAAATAAGTAGAGGGTAAAATTCAAGCTTTCAATGTTGACCAAACAGTAATCTTGTAGAATTTACAATGGCCTAATATTTTTCAATATTGAGTCATTTTTATTCTTATCCATTAGTTGCAAATCTTTTGTTGAGAATTTCAGCATTTTTGTATACCTTTGTCTATTAATATTTTTGCTTAGAAATTTCATCTGCATCCTATTAACAAGAATTTTTGGCCAGTATAACCCTGAATCCTTCTGTTTTATACTTTCAGACACATTACCTCATCTATGGGAAGGGGTTTCAGACTTGGGAATATTCCCCAGTTTATGCTATTCGCTCCTATGCTTACCTGTTGCTTCATGCCTGGCCAGCTGCATTTCATGCGAGAATTCTACAAACTAATAAGGTAAGGGCAGGCCAACCTGAAAGCAATCACAACTGATCAAGAGGTGAGTCTCTGAAACAGTTTTGAGAAAAAGACAAAATAGATTGATAGTTAAGAGGGGACTTTCTTTGAAGAAGAATCACTTATTCATTGTTCAACAAATATAAATGGAGCAACTTTTATTTGGTAGACACTTTTTTAAGTGCTGTGGATGTAACAATGACCAAATCCCTGCCCTCAAGGAATTTATAGTTTAGGGGGGAAAATGATTAATTGAATAAGTAATTATAAATGTGGTGGATCTTATGGAGGAAAAGTACAATGTGCAATGGGATAGCCTATTAGGAGACCCTAATTTAAACAGAGTGCTGAAGGGTAATTAGGAGTTATCCGAAACCTAACCTGATTGTTTTTCATAAATTTGGCTATTATATGTCTTGCCATGGATTTCTTTGGATTTGTTCTGTTTGGAGTTTACTCAACTTCTTGAATCTTTATGTTTATGTCTTTTGCCAAATTTGGGAAGTTTTTGGCTGTCATTTTTTTGAGTACTTTTTCAGCCCTGCCCTGTTTCTCCTCTCCTGAGACTCCAATGATATGAATGTTAGATCTTTTATTATTGTCCTGCAAATCCCTGAGACTCTGTTCATTTTTTTTCCAGTCTACTTTCTCTGTGTTGTTCAGACTGAACAGTTTCTAATCTTCTGTCTTCCTGTTCACTGATTCTTTCCTTTGTCCCCTGCATTCACTATTGAGCCTATCCATTGAGCTTTTATTTTGGTTATTGTATTTTTTCAGTTCTAAAATTTTGATTTGGTTTTTCTTTGTATCTTCTTTTTCTTTACTGAGACTTTCTAATTTTTCATTTGTTTCAGGCTTGTTCTTAATTGCTTGTTGAAGCATTTTTACAGTGGCTCCTTTAAAACTTTGTCATATAATTTTAACGTGTCTCGCATCTTGTTGTTGGTATCTATTGATTGACTTTTTTCATTCAGTTTGAGATCTTCCTGGTTGACAAGTAATTTTCAGTTAAAACTTGGACATTTTGGGTACTATGTTTTTGAGACTCTGGATCTCATTCTTGAGCCCATCTTGCTGCTTCTGCCCCACTCTGCTCCCCTGCATCTTATTTAAGCCTTTGTTTTAGCGGGCCTCTTTTGATACCACTCTAGCAAGAGAAAGGAGGGAGTTCTCCACCATGTTACTGCCAAGTGGGAGTAGAAGTCCAGGTTCCCCACTAGGCCTCCAGTGATACCACCCTACTGGGCGGGGTAGGGGTACCTCATTACTGCTAGTTTGTGGGGGAAGGTGGAAGTCCAGGCTCTCCAAGTGGTCTCCACTGACACTGTGGTGGGAGAGGGAGCCCATTACCACCAGCAAGGATGAAAGTCCTGGCTTCCTACTGGACTCTTGAAGGCATGGGTGGGAGTGGGGCCGCATTTTTTTTTCTGGAGTGCTTGGCTGGAGTAGAGTGGTTATTGTCTAAAAGTTTTCTATCTTGCTAGGCTATCCCTTTCTTGGTCTTTTGGCCGGATAGAGCAGGCTTTGGTTGGTGTTTTTCTTGTCTGTGCCCATTGATGTTTCGAGTTGCTAACTTCTTTAGCTCCAAGTCTGGAATATAGAAGGTGAAAAGAAAACCCGAGGAACTTACCACCATGTTATACCTAGCCAGTCTGCTTTCTTCTCTCTACCTTTCAGAGTCGTCTTCTGTTTGTTTCACATATAATGTCCAGAGTTTTTGGTTTTACGTAGCAGGAGGAATAGGGAAAAGTATGGCTAATCCATCTTCCATGAAGCAGAAGTCCCTGATTAGGGAACTAGGGGATAAGTAGGAGTTGTCTAGGTAAAGAAAGAATGGGGATGAGAGACAGAGGCCCTGAGGCCGGGAAGAAGGCCAGCATAGCCTTCTGGTATAGGTAGATTTGACACTTGCTGGAGAGAATGAGTGGTGGAGTGGATTAGATGAGACTGAGAGGTAGGAAGAGGCCAGATTTTTTTTTGTGTGTGTGAGGAAGATCAGCCCTGAGCTGACATCCATGCTAATCCTACTCTTTTTGCTGAGGAAGACCAGCTCTGAGCTCACATCTATTGCCAGTCCTCCTCCTTTTTTTTTTTTGCCCCAAAGCCCCAGTAGATAGTTGTATGTCATAGCTGCACATCCTTCTAGTTGCTGTATGTGGGACGCAGCCTCAGCATGGCCGGAGAAGTGGTGCGTCGCTGCACGCCCGGGATCTGAACCCAGGCCGCCAGTAGCGGAGCGCACGCACTTAACTGCCAAGCCACGGGGCCAGCCCCTAGGAAGAGGCCAGATTAATACAACATCTGGTAGGCTTTATTAGGGAATTAGACTTTTTCCTCCCCAAGTACATTGTGAAGCCATTAGACAGAGGACATAATTGTATTTGCATTTTAGAATGATTAGAAAGGTAGCACCTATAGAAAGTGATAGAACTCTGTCCCTCCCTTCCCTACCTAGTATCTCATTTCTGGTTTTTTGAATTTACCAGAGGAAAAATATACAGGATGAGGGACTTAGTAGAGAAATAACAATATGCAGTTCTTTTTTTTTTTTTTTTTAATTTATTTATTTATTTTTTCCCCCAAAGCCCCAGTAGATAGTTGTATGTCATAGCTGCACATCCTTCTAGTTGCTGTATGTGGGACGCAGCCTCAGCATGGCCAGAGAAGCGGTGCATCGGTGCACGCCCGGGGTCCGAACCCGGGCCGCCAGCAGCGGAGCGCGCACTTAACCACTAAGCCACGGGGCCGGCCCCAATATGCAGTTCTTAAAGTTTTTTATTTCTACTTGGATATCCACTATCACTTCAAATTTGACATATGCAACACAGAATTTTTCCTTTTACATCGCTATTCCTCTTACATCAGTGATAGGAACAGCAAGCAGAATAGGAATGAAGATTTCCCTTCTCTTGTTCTGATTTCCAGTCTTCTCCCCGTTAGGTTCTGCCGGCGGGAGCCAACAGAGAGCCTCTTGGCAAGGGGGAATTGTAGCTTATAGAGTCCCAGCTTGAGCACCATAAGGCAGAGTAGAGAAGGGTGGATTATTGCTGAGAGATGTTATGGTAATAATCGGCACACCTAGTGTTGATTACCTTTCCAGCTTCTTGCTACCCTAAACAAGAACACCTTCATTTTGTCTCCTGATGGCTCTGGGTGTAAATTTCTCTAAACTCTATACTCAGGAGTGGGATCCCATATACAGATCCATGGATTATTAATTTCAATTGCCCTCCAGAATGGCTGTGCAACTTTACACTCCTTGCAACAGTGTTCGAGGTTTCAGCTTCTTCACATCCCCTGAGCACTTGATGTTTCTGACTTGCTAATTTTTGTACTTCACGTGCATGTAAGATACTTCTCATTTTAATTGCTTTCTCTGATTACTAGCGAGTTGGAGTGTTTCTTTATTTATTAGTCACTCAGATTTCGTTTTCTGTGAATTACCTGTTCACATCCCTTGCCTGTTTTTCTTTTTTTTTTTTTGTGAGGAAGATTAGCCCTGAGCTAACATCCATGCGAGTCCTCTTCCTTTTTTTTCCCGCTTTTTCTCCCTGAAGCCCCAGTAGATAGTTGTATGTTATAGTTGCACATCCTGCTAGTTGCTGTATGTGGGACGCCGCCTCATCACAGCCTGACAAGCGGTGGGTCGGTGCGCGCCTGGGATCTGAACCCGGGCTGCCAGTAGCAGAGCATGGGCACTTAACCGCTAAGCCATGGGGCTGGCCCCCCCTTGCCTGTTTTTCGATTGTGTTTTCCGGTTTTCTCTTCTGATTTGTAGAAATTCTCAATAGTTACCCTTTGTATTTTTTAGATACTGGAAATCCTTTCTCTTAGGCTGTCACTTTTCTATTAACTTTGTCTGTGGTCCTTTGTTGAACAGAAATCTTTAATTTTGATACGTCATACCAATTAATTTTTCACTTATGGTTGGTGGTTTTGAGTCTTTCTCAAAGACATCCTTCTTCAGAATCACAGAGATATTCTTCTATATTTTCTTCTGTTAGCTTTATAATTTTACCTTTCACATTTAAGGCTTTAATCCATTTGAATTTTATTTCTTATAAATTGTGGAAAGATCTAGCTTTATTTTTTGCTGTATGGTGAACTGAATTTTCCAACACCATCTGCTAAATAACCCATTCTTTTCCTTCTGGTCTATAATACCATCTCTCTCATATACCTCACCCCATATATATGGGTCTGTTTCTGACCTCTTTATTCTATGTCATTGGTCAATTTGTCAATCAGTACCATATTGTTTTTATTATTATGGCTTTATAATGTGTGTTAATATCTGGTGGATGGATTTCTCACTTTTCTGTTTTAAAATGTGTATTTTAAAAATCATTTTAGAACCAGTTTGTACCTCCTCCCCAATTCTGATTGGTTTTGATTGGAGTTGCATTGAATTTACATATTAATATGAGAATCAGTGTTTGTAAAGTGTTGTCATTCCATCCCTAAAATGATATATTTATCCTTTTCATCAGGTTTTCTGTGTCTTTTAATAAAATTTTAAAAATACATTCATTTTAGTCTTCTCCAGTCTTTGATAGGTTAATGTCTAGATTCTTTATACTTTTTCTTGCTGTTATGAATGGTATCTTGTTTTCTGTTATTTTTTAGGTGGTTGTTGCTGATCCAGAGGAACACAATTGATTTTTGTTTTTTGATCTTAACCTAAATCTCACTGAATTTCATTATTAGTGTCAATGGTTTGTCAGGTGAATCTCCTGGATTCTCTTTCATCTGTGTATATAGAGTTTAGTTTCTATCACGTTCCTTATACCTCATTTCTTTTTTGTCTTTTTGCACCAACAAGACTTCTAGTTATTATGTTGAATATTAGTTGTTATGGGAGCATGCTTGTCCTCATCCTAAATACAATTCTTATATTAACTTGTGTTAATTTTTAACTTCCTAAATGTGTTTTTGTACTCTCCCCAATTAGATGAGGAGTCTTTACACGTAGACACATTGTACTGAAATAATCTCTCTTCCTAGTAGCATCTAGAATAGTGCTCAGTGTGTTATAGTAGCTTTTCAGTATTTTTATTAAATTAATCAATGAATCTGGGCATTTACTGGATCACTTTATTGAATTCTTTTTGGAATTTTTTGGTTATAGAGATGAAAATGGAAAATATTTCCAAGTTATATGCAGTTATATTAATCATAGTATATATTTAAATAATGCTTATATTGTGAGGTTTTCAGTGCTCTTAAACATACCAGTTTAATGTAATACAAAAGCGATTTGCTATAACCCCTATTATTTTGTTACCTTTATTTTTTTAAATTGATTTTCTTAATTATAAAATTAATAAAGTCACATTACAGATGTTTGGAAGATAGGAGGAAAATATGCACCTAAATCCCACCAGCCTGATATAGCCACTTTTATCCTTTTATTATATTTCTTTCCAGTCTTTTCATATACTTCTGATTTCCATAGCTGTACTCTGATGTATAAATAATATTGTATTATGCATTTTTACTTGGTACTTTGTAATAATCACTACCTAATATATTATGGTTGTTTAAGAAAGCTTGTTGAATGAATGAGCCTTATATCATCAGAATTTTTCCACTGTCTTTGTAACCATAAATTTTAATATCTGTATAATAGTCGATGAAATAGATGTTGCATAATTTATTTAACCATTTCTCTATAATTGGACATTTTGTAGTTTTTTAAACAGTTTTTTCTAAATTAACAGTGCTACAGTCATGAATAGAACTAACCCTCCGCCCTTGCCCCCAATATTTTGGGTTACTTCTGTGGGCTGGAATCACAGAAATAGGTATACTGGGTCTAAGGATATGAAAATTTGTGTGGTTCTTGGTACATAATACTTTTCAAAAGGATTATACCAATTTATAGTGTTATTAGTGACAAATGAGAGTGGCATCATCTTTAAAAGAATTTTTTTAACATGTATCTGTGACTTCTGTTTTCTTGTTCTGGGTTTCTTTCAGATTCTTGTCTTTTACTTTTTACGATGTCTCCTGGCTTTTGTGAGCTGTATCTGTGAACTTTACTTTTACAAGTGAGTATAAAAGCTTTGCTTCTAAAACTGCTATGACGAAGCCCAATATAGCATAGGTTACTTCTCTGATAGTGTAAGCAGTGTTTAGAATAGAAAACACTTTCCTTCTAGCTCCTAATATTATATCTGAAGTGTGACTGTTTAAAAAAATTGTTTTCTAGGTTTGCCAAGATATAATTGACATATAACATTGTGTAAATTTAAGGTGTACAACATGATGATTTGATACATGTATATATTATGAAACGATTACCACAGTAAGGTTAGTTAACACATCCGTCATCTGTGTGTGTGTGTGTGTGTGTAGTGAGAACATTTAATACTTACTGTCTTAGGAACTTTCAAATATATAATACACTATTGTTAACTATAGTCACCATGCTGTGTATTAGATCCCCAGAACTTATTCATCTTATAACTGGAAGTTTTTACCCTTTAACCAACATCTCCTCATTTCCCCCACCACTCCCCAACTCCTGGCAATCATGAGTCTACTCTCTATTTCCGAGAGTTTGGCTTTTTTTAGATTCCACATATAAATGAGATCATACAGTATTTGTCTTTTGCTGTCTGACATTTTACTTAGCATAATGCCATCAAGATCCATCCATGTGTTGCAAATGACAGGATTTCCTTTTTTATGGCTGAATAATATTGCATTGTATGTGTGTCTGTGTGTGTCTGTGTGTGTGTATGTATACACACATGTGTATACATATACACAATGGAATATATATATATACACCACATTTTCTTTATCCATTCACCTGTGGATAGATAGACATTTAGGTTGTTTCCGTGTCTTGACTATTGTGAATAACGCTGCACTAAAAATGGGGGTGCAGATATCTCTTTGAGGTAGTGATTTCATGTCTTTCAGATATATACCCTGAAGTGGTATTGCTGGATCATCTAGTAGTTCTATCTTTAATTTTTTTTTTTTAAATGTGATTTTTTTTTTTTTTTTTTTTGGTGAGGAGATCAGCCCTGAGCTAACATACGATGCCAAGCCTCCTCTTTTTTTTGCTGAGGAAGATTGGCCCTGGACTAGCAACTGTGCCCATCTTCCTCTACTTTATATGGGACACTGCCACAGCATGGCTTGACAAGCAGTGTGTTGGTGTGCACCTGGGATCGGAACCTGCGAACCCTGGGCTACCGAAGCAGAGCGCGCACACTTAACCACTGCGCCACCGGGCTGGCCCATATTTTTAATTTTTTGAGTAAAGAATTGTGACTTCTTGTTTGAAACAAACCATTGGAGGGGAATGCTTCTAATTATTGCTTTCTTTCCTGAGATTCATAAATACTGTATCTTCATATTCCTGGTTTTAATTCTGTTAATACATTATCTAACTGGTGTTTTATTTGGTAGGATTTAGTAGAGCCTTAGTTTTGGTTCCAAGATATGGGATCATGATTTACCTCTTCTCTTTGAGCTTAACTGAAGGAAATTATTCCCAGTGTGGAACTCACTGCTCTTATTTGCACCTGATACATTGTCTTTCACCAGGTACCTATTGGTTAATTGAATATTAGTGGAATTATTAGGCATTTAAGTGTTCTCATAATAAAAATAGCCACCTTTTTTACATGAAACCTAACAAACATCTTTTTTTTTTTTTTTGGTGAGGGAAGATTGGCCCTAAGCTAACATCTGTTGCCAACCCTCTTCTTTTTGCTTGAGGAAGATTGTTGCTGAGCTGGCATCTGTGCCAGTCTTCCTCTACTTTATGTATGGGACGCCACCGCAGCATGGCTGGATTAGTGGTGCATAGGTCTGCACACGGGATCCAAACCTGCGAACCTTGGGCCGCCAAAGCAGAGCATGCGAACTTAACCACTACGCCACTGGGCCAGGGCCCCCACGAACATCTTATTTTAATAATGTTTTAAAAGATATTTGGACTTAATAATCATTATTAAAAATCTTCCCACTGCAAAACAGCTAAAAATGTCAGATAAGAAAATTCTTTGCCTTGACACCGTGTAGAGTCGAGAAGAAAGCAAGCCAGTGCTGTCTTTGAGGATTGTAACCATAAGTTAGTCTTCATATGGGTTCAGGACTGAATTCAAGTGACCTACATGGTCCCCCACACCCCAGGTTTAGAATTTATTTTAAATTATTCTGGGGCTGGCCCCGTGGTTTAGCGGTTAAGTGCGCGTGCTCCGCTGCTGGCGGCCCGGGTTCAGATCCCGGGCACGCACCGACGCACCGCTTCTCCGGCCGTGCTGAGGCCGAGTCCCACATACAGCAACTAGAAGGATGTGCATCTATGACATACAACTATCTACTGGGGCTTTGGGGGGAAAAATAAATAAATAAAGTTAAAAATAAATAAATAAATAAAATAAAAAAAAATAAATTGTTCTAGGTTGGTAGTGCCCCCAGGTATCTTGCAAAAACAAGTGTAAAGTTTCTCTAGAGAAATAGATCTTTAACCCAGTCACAGAATTACCACATATAAAGTTCTAGTGAGTAAGAAATTATAATAAAAAGAAATCACAAAGCACAAAAGGGAACAAGACATTATGAGTGAGAGCCAGCAGAAATAAAAATCAACAGAAAGCTGACTCACAGAACTTCATTTATTAGGAATTATTAAAATAAGAATATAAAATAAATATGTTTAATAATTTTAAAGAAATAGGGAATTGAAAACATGATTAAGAAACAAGAGACTAAACAATCAGTGGAGTGAAAAGGAACTTGCAGAGCAATTTTTGCAAACCGTCATCTTAAGAGAGACTCCTTTCCAGAATATAAAAGAACTCCCCCTACATTTCAATAGCAAAAAAACCTAATAATCTGATTTAAAAAACAGACTAAGGATTTGAATAGACATTTCTCTAAAGAAGATATACACAGGGCCAACAGGTATATGAGAAGATGCTCAATGTCACTAATCATCAGGGAAATGCAAATAAAAACCACAATGACATGTCACTTTATACTTGTTAGAATGGTTATCAAAAAAACAAAGGCAGTGGGCAGGCCCTGTGGCTTAGCGGTTAAGTGCACACGCTCCACTGGTGGCGGCCTGGGTTCGGATCCCGGGCGCACACCAACGCACCGCTTCTCTGGCCATGCTGAGGCTGCGTCCCACATACAGCAACTAGAAGGATGTGCAACTATGACATACAGCTATCTACTGGGGCTTTGGGGGAAAAAATTAAATAAATAAAATTATTAAAAAGGGGATAAAGATAACAGGTCCAGTCCCTTCTCTTTTCTTTCTGTTTGTTGGTTTGTTTATAG